TATTTATACACATTATATATGTACATACTTACATGAAGACAGACACATTCAGTTACCATACATTTTTACTCGCATATGCACACACAAGATACGCATACATACAAACACAAATACACGCATAAAAAGCAAAACACAAGTTCAAACTTAGTCTTCGAGAACGCTCACTATAAACCGGTAGAGAAAAGACAAGGAACCAATTTTAGAGAATACAAGCGGGTACGCACGTCGATAGAACAGAGAAGTGGTGAAATAAATAATTGTCCTATTTAGTATTAATCTATAACAACAATTCTGCTAGGGTTCTCGTTGTCTAGAGGTTACTGTGTTCGCCTCTGAATTAATAGGTTCCAGGCTCTAAACCTGACAACGACAAAACATTTCATATCTAAAATTTCCTCCTTTCTTTCACCTCCTTTCCTGCTGTCTAGCCATATTCTGTCGTCTCCACTTTCTGCCACCTCTTCCCCCCCCCTCCATTTTTTCCTCTTTGCCCCCTCTCTCTCTCTCTCTCTCTCTCTCTCTCTCTCTCTCTCTCTCTCTCTCTCTCTCTCTCTCTCTCTCTCTCTCTCGCAAAACGAACTCAGAGGTCTCGTGTGCTAGTTGCGCACGATAAAGATCCCTTGGTGGTCTTAAAACAGATAAAAGTAGGCTTCGGCCGCCACCCGGGCAAAATTCAAAACTCCTACCAAACTGAAAATGTTTCAATACCTCCCGCACACTCATGAATTGGTCTTATGCAATTGCAAGCGCTGTAAGACACTTACCAAAAGAAAAAAAAAGAAAAAACCCAACAACAAAGATGCTGAGATGCCACTCACCCCATGCCACAAGAGTCACAACAGCTGTTCATGTCCTCGGCAGAAATGTGGACGGCGCCGCCCCCTGCGATGCAGATTCTGTCTGTCATAGCCTCCACGGAACCGAAGGCCTGGAGAAAACACGAATGATTTGAAAATACCTCTTTGAAAAGTCGAACAATTTGAAGAGATGTTATTGAAAAGACGAATGATTTGAAGAGATGCCATTGAAAAGACGAATGATTTTGAGTACCACTTCAAAAGACAAGGGATTTTGATTACCGGTTAAAAAAACAAGTGATTTTGAGTACCAGTTCAAAAGACGAGCGCTTTTGAGTACCAGTTCAAAAAAGAAGTGATTTTGAGTTCCAGTTCAAAAGACGAGTGATTTTCATTGCCACTTTAAAGGCTCTAAGAAAGAATTTTAAAAGTTTAAAAAAATCGGTATAAACACCAAACGAAAAGATACACAGAAGAATTTTTTCAGAGGTAACAAAAAAATGGTCTTGTCTTTTTTTTTCAAATGATCTTTTTCTTTAGCATAACGAAAAGCCACCACAGAAACAACAGCGTCCACAAAAACCACCACAACAACCACAAAAACATTTCCTCACCCAGCATGATCCACAGGTAGACTGATCTCTGACCTCACTCAGGCTTTGACATTTGGGCCATTTCTTCCTGGGGTCAAATTCTTTGGGAAGATCGTCGCTTACCCACACCTCCTGGTATTTCAAGTGCTTTCTGACGGCATAATAGTAGTAGTAGTAGCAGTAGCAGTAGCAGTAGCAGTAGCAGTAGCAGTAGCAGTAGCAGTAGCAGTAGCAGTAGTAGTAGCAGTAGTAGCAGCAGTAGTAGTAGCAGTAGTAGTAGTAGCAGTAGTAGTAGTAGTAGCAGTAGAACTAATAGCAGTAGAACTAATAGTAGTAGTAGTAGTAGTAGTAGTAGTAGTAGTAGTAGTAGTAGTAGTAGTAGTAGTAGTAGTAGTAGTAGTAGTAGTAG